CCTCAGTAAATACCTGTAAGGTGTTGAAGCTAGGACTCATTCTGGCTGTTCAGTTACAAAGTCTAGTTGGGCCCTTTAAGGACTATCTCTCAGCACCAGATCTTATCTTTTCATTACATATAAGGAAAATGATTTTCATTATATCTGGAATTTGGGGGACTAAAGCTGAAAATAACAGCTCTTAGGCTTCAGTTTTCCCAATGGTGGATCAATGGATTCCCAATAAATCCATTTAGAAATGTGGCTAATTATTAAGACAGAAAACAAAGTCTCCATATTGAAAGAAAATCAATCACTTCACCTATGATGTCCAAAGTTACTGAGATGTATTGGTGGTTGGCTGTTACAGTTTAAATGGGGATCCCACCACCAAATCTTTTCCAGCATTATCCTTCAAGCTCAGCCATCACTCGAGTGGAAGGCCCATCCTCACATGAGGGAATCTGACAATATCCCTCATCAGTGACTTCACTTATTTTCTGGATTTAGGGGAATGGGTATGTGTGTGGGGGCTATCTTCCTTTAGAAATGGAATTAACAGTATTCTTATCAATTGTTTTTAGAGTCACCTATGGTAATCACTCCCCTCTTGAATCTTCTCTTCATTTTTGGTTTTCTGTGACCTCACAGATATTGATCAGTCAAGGAAAACAATTCTAAAGGCTCAATAAATTAACAGGGCTTGAATTTGTATTTATATTTGCTGTCCGTTGTAGACTGTCTTAATTTGCCAAAAAATCCAAGACACAAAATTTAAAACTGATGCCTACAGCAGGAAAATTAGCGAAATAAATACCTAGTAACAGTCTACATTTCTAGAATATAATCATTTACATACCTTAATCTTCCCTTTTAGATCTTATAAACCTCTTTGTAACTTCCACAACCAGTAGTAACAGTGAAGCATTCTGGATTTTTCATGTTTCCATTCTGGAATAATTCATATATTGGGACAATACTACCATACAAATTTAATTTTATCTAAAAAGTAGTAATCTTTTGTCTGCAATCACGAAGTTCCAAAAGATCCAAAACCCTCTGCAGGAACTGCGGAACAAGAGTACCCTTACATACATACAGGCAAAAGACCAATACACACAAAATAATAAATTTTATAAATTTTGTATGTGATCAGAAGCAAAACAGGTTAACTATCCTGAAGACATTTTTTTCCACAACAAAATACAATAGTTTCTTTAAAATTTAAGCCCTTTAAAAGAGACACTTAGAAATTGTTTTTGTTAAAAGACCTTGATTTCTCTGTTGCAGTTTATGTGATGTGCCAAAACAAATGCACAGAACTGTGTATCCTACAGCAGAACTCGGCTAGTGGAAGATCACCATCCTGCAATTCTGTTTCTCTACAACCCACCCTATTACCAGAAACTATGCAACAAAACATGCTGGAGAGGAATAGAAGCAACAGAAGATGTATGTGCCAAGAAAGGGGTTCATTAGATGAGCTCACTGTGCTGTTGATAGTCCAGCAATGTCTATGTGCAGGATTGAGAGGACAACCCAGAAGCCGCTCAGTCCACACAGCTGGACATCTCAGCACTACCATTCTGGCAGAGATCTGAAAAATTCCTAGAGCTGTAGCTATTTAGTCCATGTTGGAAGGCTAATGGACCTGCAATCTGTCACTGGAGGATTGCAGCAGCAACAGCAGCAGCCACAGGAGTAGACACACTCAGCAGAAAGAAGACAATACATGAAGTCAGGAAACACTGATTTTTCTTCAGATATCTTTATTTAGGTGCCAAACACATGTTGCCTGTTCACAGTCAAAGCCTGGCTCTGTATGTTTTGTCAGGTCACCTATGTAAGACAATTTCTCCCTTAACTACTGGCAAACGCACCATATGTAATCTATGCCAATCAGTGATAGGTGCAAATATACCTTCCTAAGTGTGGACACTGGCACAGGCCTCTTACACCATTTCTAGGCAAGTGAGGAAGAGACAATGTCACCAACAAGACTTTAGCCCAAGGCAGTGTTATGTAATTGACCATGACAAAAGCTTTTCATTTCACAAGCACTGATGCACAGACCTCAACTAAAGGGAATCATCTGCAATCAGTTCTACCCCAGAAACCTATTGGGAGTAGGTTGCTTTAACAGGTTATTCATATCCAGGTGTGTTGGCTCAGGCATTTAACACCATCACTTGGATGGCCGAGGCAGGTGAATATCTTCCCCACAAACCATGAAGACTATTGCCACTGCTGTTGAATACATACTGAAACTAGATGGTAAGTCACTATTGCTAAAGACATCATATGCTCAGGTTGCAGACCACGGAGAAATGATGCTGGAATAAGGTGGACACTACCTCCATTCTAGCTGGCTTGCATGGTGCCAGGTGCAATGCAGATTGCTGAGGGACAATTGTCACCAAGAGTCCTGCTCAGCCATAAACCCTGTGTGACCAGTGCCAAAAGGACAGGGAGAATATGCCTCCTGGTGGTACAGTGGCACAACTAATGTTTGGGTCCAACAAACAGCTTTCAGGTTGGATTTACAGCCCACTCCACAGTAGGAAATTTGTGTCTGATATTGTAAGATGAAAACAAAACTCGTGGCCGGAGAGGTCATAGACTCCAGTTGGGAAGCAATTACTATTGTTCTGTTAGGTGGATGGGATGTGCTTCTCAAATTCCCTTATCAACATTTCAGTTCAAGTCTAAGGTCACTGCGGTTGTTAGTGGCAATCCATCATGGAAGGAAACTTCCTTTCACGATGGATTGTACACCACAAAGACTCAGAATCAATGATGAAGATCCTGACAAAAAGTGAGTATTGCTCTGGCACGGTGGCCTAATGTTAGCCACAGAGAACATTTGTATCCACGCCCTCTGCCTACAAGGATCTAAAGGCATTACAAAACATGTGTTAGAGTCAGAGAAAGGGGTGTTGTCGAGGAAATTTTCTCTGACTTTATGCAGTCCCTCTCAAAGGGAGGCATGAGACTCAAGAAGTAAACACAAGTTCTGGAATGTTCAAATTTATAAAATTCCCAAGGCGACTCCACAAGGTTATAGAAGCAGTAAATTGTGAAAAGAAATTCCCCAACTAACCAAGCTGCCTGCCAGTTGGGCAGAGATCTCAGATTGCAGCTTCCTTGGGTCATAATTTAGACTGAATGGGATTTTTGGTGATACAGCTGTCTGTGCTTGTCCATGCTTCTGGAAATAACCCTGGTAAAATCCTGGTTCACATAATCAGACTTTGGTAGAATTGCTTGTTTGTGTCATTAGTTGCATATCTCAGGTGAGTTAACATTTGCTCAGGTCTCCCCAGGAAAAATGTCACACAGCACTGTTGCTGTTGGGAACAGCTTGATCCTTTTCCTTGTTGTTGTTTATAGTCTTAGAGGCTTGAGAGTAGTTTTCCCTAACTGAAGTGAACTCATATAAAACATTAACAACACTTGCATTTTACATTTCGAGGACTTTTCTCCTAAGATTATTTTACATTGAAAGAACACTGTGCTGTGAAATTACTCTGCCATGTAACTTTGGAACTATAGGCATTGTTCACATTCCAAGAGTCTTTGCCACAATTAATTTCCTCTTGTGAGTGTAAGAAAATATGAAATGTAAAGGTTTCCACATTCTTTGCACTGACTGTACCTTTCCTCTGTATGAATCTTTCAAGTAATTTAAGATAAATGTACCATAGCTAGGATTTACATTGCTCTCATTCATTTTGCTTTGGTCCAATATGAATTTACATAAAGGAAGATAACTGTGTCAGCTAAGGGCTTTACTCCACTGTTTGCATTCATAGGTTTACTAAATCATGGATTCTTTCATGTAAAGATGATTGACTTCTAAAGGCTTTTTCACACTGCTCCCATTCACAGGGTAGTGAACTTTTCATGTCTCTGAACATCACTGTGGCATCTGAAGTCTTCACATTACTTACAGTCATAGATTTTTCTCCAGTATGAATTTATTCATGTAACTTAAGACATTTGTGCCATCTAAAGGCCTTATCACGTTGTTTACATCCATGTGGCTTTTCTCCAGTATAAATTTATTCATGTAACTTAAGACATTTGTATCATCTAAAGGCTTTGCCACATTGTTTACATTCATATGGTTTTTCTCCTGTGTGTTTTTTCATGTTCTCGAAGATAACTGTATCCTGTAAAGGCTTTGCCACAGTGTTTACAGTCATATGGTTTTTCTCCAGTGTGCATTTTTTCATACCTATGAAGATGACATTTATGTCCAAAGGCTTTACCACATTATTTACATTCATATGGTTTTTCTTCAGTATGAATTCTTTCATGTAACTTAAGACATCTGTGCCATCTAAAGGCTTCCCACATTGTTTACATTCATATGGTTTCTCTCCTCTGTGAATTCTTTCATGCAACTTAAGACATTTGTGCCATCTAAAGGCTTTCCCACATTGTTTACATTCATATGGTTTCTCTCCTCTGTGAATGTTTTCATGTACCTTAAGATATCTATGAAATCTAAAGGCCTTACCACATTGTTTACATTCATATGGTTTTTCTCCAGTGTGCGTTTTTTCATGACTATGAAGATGACTTTTACGTCCAAAGGCTTTATTGCATTCTTTACATTCATATGGTTTTTCTCCAGTATGAATTTTTTCATGTAAATGAAGATAACTCTTATATCTAAAGGCTTTTTCACATTGTTTACATTCATATGGTTTTTCTCCAGTATGAATGTTTTCATGTAACTTAAGACATTTGTGCCATCTAAAGGCTTTGCCACACTGATTACATCCATATGGTTTCTCTCTTGTGTGAATTTTTTCACGTACTCAAAGAAAACTGTACAGTGTAAAGGCTTTCCCACACTGTTTACATTCATATGGTTTTTCTTCAGTATGAATTTTTTCATGTACTTGAAGGTGACTATACCATCTAAAGATTTTATCACATTGTTTACATGCATAGGGTCTTCTTCCAGAATGAATTTCTTCATGTAACATATCTGTGAGATCTAAAGACCTTACCACATTGTTTACATTCATATGGTTTTTCTCCAGTATGCATTTTTTCATGACTATGAAGATGACTTTTACGTCCAAAGGCTTTATTGCATTCTTTACATTCGTATGGTTTTTCTCCAGTATGATTTTTTTCATGTAAATGAAGATCTCTCTTATGTTTAAATCCTTTACCACAGTGTTTGCATACATAAGGTTTCTCTCCAGTATGAATTTTTTCATACTTTTGAAGACAATTGTTATATCTAAAGGCTTTACTACATCGTGTATATTCATGTGGTTTTTCTACATTATGAATTGTTTCATGTCCTTGAAGAGAAGTGGAAGAATTCATATGTTTCCCACATATATTACACTGACAATGCTTTCTTATAGTCTGAGTTCCTCCAGATGTCTGAAGTGAACTGCCATCAGCAGAGGCCTTTCTATATTCTTTGTATCTATGGAGTGGTTTCTCACTGTGTCTTTCGGGATCTATTACCAACGAACATTGGAAATCAAAATGATTTAAAAATGTATTATAATGTAAAGGTCCATTCACAGTGTGAGTTCTCATATGTCTTTGACAGCTTGTGAGAGAGTTAGAGTTCTGGGGCTTGTTTCCATACTCCTCATGCTCATACGGTTTGTACTGAGAGTGAGAGGTAGTGTGGTTATTAAATGGTGAGTGATACATAGAAACTTTTCCATACACATTGTTTTCATAAGAT